CAGCTCATCTATGCATTGCGAAAATTAGAAGTATGTTTTTATTTAAGACCGTCGTCGTATACATTTTTGTTTGACAAATCTAGTGTTGGATAAAACTCGTCATGGCACAAAGCGCCAAGTACCTCTGGTGCTCCTTGCGGGAATAGAACTGCATCATGTAATACCCGCCGAATAAAATTTTTTATTTGAACAAAAGATTCGGTAAATAGTATACAATAAAAACACGGGAAGATTGAACATGCTAAATTACACCAAGGTCGTTATTGAAATAAATATTTTTTTGAACAATAAATCTGGTAAATAGTATATAATAGAAAACACACGAACTATGATAGGCACATGTCCAGGATGTGGGTATAACCCGAGACCTCGATAGGCATATGGAATGTCTTTCTTTTCAAAAGTCTCTCCTGCCATGTGTACTATACAAAGGATGATATTTTTTGTATGGTTCGGAAGCTAATATTAATTGATTGTGCTTTTCGGAAAAAAATAACAAAAAAATTGTATATATCGTTATAAATCAGTAGTGCGAGTATACGTACTGTACATATATATATTATAGATTTTCATATCGTGATTTAAAGACAGCTACTTCAACTTGCTAACAATATTTTATAAAATTATTGTTAATTTTTTGGAAAAGCACAATCAATTAGCTTCCGAACCATTCAAAAAAAATTATCCTTCGTATAGTACACATGTGCAAGGAGAGATTTCGACATTCCATATGTTTACAAGTAAATTTTCATGGTGCCTGGCAGGGTACTGCACACACTACTCTATGTCCCCAACGTAAACGCCCGAGTCACAAAGTCGTGCTTCCTGTTCCTTCTTCAGCACCTCGTTCCACTTTGCCCACACTTTTCTGCATGTCTTAATGGCGTTCTCCAGATCTGCCTCTTTCTTTGTCAGCCTCTCTAGCGCAGCCCTCTCCTTTTTCCGTGAGATACATCTGCAGCTCCTTGTCTCTCAATTCGTCCAGTTTTCTTCCTTTGTATTTCGACTCCTGAAAACTCTTCAACGCCCCGTTCGCCTTATCCAGTTCATCTTTTGCTTCTTCAGTTGTTGCTGATGGTACTCAAGCGTAGCCATGGTAGAGCAACAAATTTTTTAGTGTGCCGCTTTGGAAAATTGCTTAAAAGTTGTTTATGTGCTGCGCAATGTGATAACTTACTGCCGACTTAATCAATGACGTATTGTTAGGAAATTCGCGTTTGTCTAATGATCATCCGTAGTGTGTGATGAACAAACGGATATTTTATTACCAAAACAGCACTGGTTAACTTGCTTCAGAAATCAACCATAAAGTAACAAATATTAAAAAGTAATTAAAAACAAATCTGTCAATTTTCACCAATAACACTACGAAAAATGCTTACATTTACAAACTAATTCTTTGTTGGATTATTTATTGGCTTCGCTTTGGCCTGTGGCTAAATGGCATACTTTGTAATGGTTGGCCTAATAATACGGGAGCTTAATTCAAATAATAAAGTTACAATCTATAATAAAACTGTCGGCAGCGAACAAATTTACTCGCCAAAAATCGAAAAGTTGTGGAACGATCTAAAACAGAAGAATTGAATCGGATTCAAAATTTTCATTTAATAAAATAACGTTTGAAATTCACAAGTTACTTGGTGAAGGAAAAGCTGTTGCAGCTTTCACAATACGAAATTTTTATTGACTCCGCGGAAGAAGACTATTGAGGCAATCCAATGTTGGGTTGACGATGAGAAGAAGAATGTAAACCACTCAGATGTGGAAAAGTAGAGAGTAGTAATAATAACATTTTTATTAATAATAGCAATGGTAACGAAGATAATGAAATTTAAATTTGCACCAGAGTGACCAAGAATAGGTTATACTCATCGATGGCTTTGGGTCCGAGTATTTTCCTCCCATGCAATCACTCTGCTATATATTTTCAAGAGCGCGCATTTTATAATCAAAATAATAAAATTACGCTTACGAAAAAATGAATTATTTTTACATTGTTTGACTCTTTGATTGCAATTGTGTCAAAAAAGCCAAATGTGAATCAAAGCTTTTATTAAGACCATAACAATAAGGAACGATCTTTTGTTGCTCGATCAGTGGGAAGCTTTTATGTTAAATTTACTCCTTTCTTGGTTCATCATAGGTTGGCATTAATGCTCGTTTATTGGTTTTTATTTTTCGTCCTTCTTGGTAAATTTCATAAGTAATTTTTTCTTTCCTAAGATAAGCTTCTAGTGTTTGAGTATCATTAATTTAAAAACGTGTATGGAGCAATTTTTTCTCCTTGTTTTTTTTTTCTTTAAAATACTTCTAATAGTGCTGTAATCCTTAGGTTTCATGGTGGATTTGATGTAAATTAGTTTCATATTTATATATAGAGATAATCCCATATGAAATATATTACTGTTATAATACTGTAATAATAACTGCAAGTAAAACATTTATTTCAACAAGTTTATGTTTTGATACCAAATTAATACAGATTTAAAATGCAACTAAAATTTATCCATGAATTCAGACATGGGCCACAGCTGTTCCACTAAATCAAAGCCTTCACAAAATGTCACCAGTCACTTAATTGATTTTCCAGCTACATCAGCCATTTTTAGCTCATACAGTCAAATGTTCACTTTGTCTAGTTTTGTTGCAGTATGTCCCGTATGTTATACATTGTTGTACGAAAGAAAAAAAAATTAGACAATTAACTTGCTCATTTTTGCACAGTCAGCATTTCAAATGTCGCATGATATATATTATTTGAAAGCGTTTGGGAAGAAGTAGTTTTTATTTATGCATTATTATCAGGGAATTTTATCACCATTACAAACTAATTAGAAAGAGTTTTTCTAGATTTTTGGGTATGCATTTTCTCACATTTCTTTTACAATGGCCCAAAAAGTTAATAAGATTTAAAGTCTGAACTATTAGCAAATTGGTCTGTAATGTTGATGAAATCTCATCGAAGACTATTTGCACAACTGATTAAGCTTGCGACGTTGTAAGTTCAGCATATTCCGACAGCTAGAGATTACCATACTGAATATTTGTCATTAGAGAAGACATTAGATACTATAGTAACACCAGTTGAAGCATTTATCCAATCGTACGTTTATTAGTTATTTTTCCCATCGATCCTATAGATCAATAGATATTATTTCGCTGTAAGAGTTATTCCATTATTCCGTTAGAGCCTTCGACCAAATTCTATACAGGACAGAGTGTAAAATCTACTCGAATATTGGTTATTCATATATTAATGGTCCGGTTTATTTCATCGACAGCACATTTCGCCGACAGTACAGTTCATTTCGCCGACAGTAAATTTGAAGCTTTAATTTTTTTGCTTTAATTATAATAGGAATTGTAAAGATAACGCGGGATTATAAAGTTAGGTAAGGATGTCAATGACTGATGCGCATATCTACGTAATTTAGAGTATTGGTCATATGAGACAGAACCACGATCGTGTATTTCTGTTTAGTGACTAGAAACTATTTTACTATATCAAAGCAAAATTAGCTTTAAATTTACTGTCGGTTAAATGTACTGTACTGTCGATGAAATGAAGTCGATGCCTCCTAATTTACAGTTACAGTTACACAAATAACAATGAATTGTCCTGGATCTGTCTGAAAGCAAGTCCTTTCCATGCGACAGTAATTTTTGCTTTAAGAGCTATCATTATAATAGGAATTGTAAAAATAACCAATAAGTACCGTAAATTTCCTATTCACTTTTCTAAATTACGTAGATATACGCAAATATACGCATATATTATTGATGTCCTTACCTAACTTCATAATCCTGCATCATCTTTACAATGCCTGTTATAATGATAGTTATTAAAGCAAAAATTAGAGCTTAAACTTACTGTCGGTGAAAATGAAATGTACATATCTAGTACTGATTTACGCGCACGTGAGGTTATTTATTTTTTTTGTCCAGTCATCTGTAACTGTATCAAATATTAAGCAATCCCAGTTGATTGGATAGAATTGCGGCGATCGAAAAGTTGTATGCCATTTCTGATATTTGACTTCGTGTTTAAATGACTGCTTTTTTATGCATTGACGAGTGTAACTTTAAAGTCGCAGGTCGAACAATACTATAGCTATAAATAGATCGTAAATGAAAGACATGTTGGTTATACGTGCAAACATCAAGCGTATGTTATTATTTAATTTTTTATGTAATTTAGCACGTCTCACGTACAACTAATATATGCACTGTCTATCATAGTATTATACAAGCATAAGGGGGTAATCGATACCTTTTGTGTGGTACTGCATTGCAGTAATGTACAATATAACATAATCATTTTTGCATAAAAAAATTCCTGGGTAACAATAATTCGAATGCGTCGAATGATAAGATTATTAATTTGTTCCATTAAAAATTGAGTTCCAGAAAAGATAACAAAATTTATTCAATACTTCTCTGCTTTTATTTGATTATTAGTACTCGCAATTGAAGTGATACGTCAGTTCAGAACCGATATTAAATGTATCCTTTGACTATCTTAATAGTTAAAACAACAAACCTTATGAAAATGACATTATATGCGATAACCACAATCATAATTATATTGATTAATAATTGATACTAATGATAATGACATCAATAATATCGGCAGCATGCAATGCATAAGTATTATATTATGCGTGTAAAGAAACGATTTGATGACTTGTCTAGAGCAAGCATGTTGGAAGACAACGCGGTCGCTTATTAAATAATCTCTATAGTACCCGCATATAATAAGGCTACTAGTTAGTCTTTATTATCCGGCATAATTATCGACCATAGTGCTAATAGCTCAATCTTATGTTGAAACTTATAACATATTTAATTAAGCTCACTGTCTTGTAGATAGTTACATAGCACAGTAATAGCATAAATTATGTAAAAAATTGGTTAATAAAATAAGTCATAATAAATCCACCCGATGCATAATCGATAAACCATTAATTCACGTTTGACTCTAATATATACTTTTATATCTACGTTTCAATTATTCCTTCATCAAACTCCAAACCCACTCCGAAAGCATTTCCACACCCATTGTCCTCGATCTGATCGTATCCGAACTCCCTATTCAAAGACATTATCCAAAGAAATTCTTGCGCTGGCATATTTGACGTTTCCATATATCTATTTTCACTAAACGTCATCCCGATATCCCCCAAATAGTCCGTGTCATTAACATTTGGAAACGAATTCGCAGATTGGGTAGGTACAAACGGTGCAATCGAATTATATTGCTCAAGAGGAAAAGTTAAAAAATTAGGTGGGAATGTATGAGGTAAAAATGAAGATGTTGACGACGATGGCGGTGTGAAGACTGAAATTGGTGGATTGACGGGTGAAGTCGTTACTGTTGGTGAGGGTGTCAATGGAGACGAATTCCAATTAGAAATCTGGTTGTTGCTAGGTTTGTATTCTTCCTGTGGGTTTTCGTGTAATACAATTAAAGGGCGAGACTGAAAATGAGGAGACATTGAACTGGGGAATGCGGACGTTGGTAAAGGTCGGCTTCTCGGTATATCTTTGAGGCAGACTTCAGTGTCGTAAGCCACGTTTTTCGCATAAATTGCAGGTTTTGATTTGCTTTTGTTCTCGTGTTGCTCGTCGTTTGTGGTTTTATTAGTGACATTATTATTCTCTTTTTTATTGCTTTTCTTGTTATTGTATGGCCTCCAATTCTTATCGCACAAACATGCCGTTTGTCTTCGAACTTCCATTACTAAAGCGGCCGTCTTTTCTGCAATTTTCTTATATTCTTTCTTTACGCTAAGAGGTTGAGCTCTCCATGCATCTCCAGCCAATTGACTAACCTTCACCATACGAGGATAAGTTCCATTTTCGTGAAGGTGCTTGACAAACTCGCGGCGGAAAATAATGAATGCATTACACGGTTTTGAAGGATCTTTGCGGCGACGCTGTTCTGAAACAAGATCTTCGGGTCGAAGTTGAGGTGGACAAGGGATAATAATTGGTTTGGAAGCAAGGGGAGGTGATGGAGGAGGCGGAGAAACAAAAGTTGAATTCTGTTTAGATGTAGTCTTAGATTTAGGCATCTGTATTTTTTGATAAAGAGTGAAAATTTGTGTTTTAAAATTTTTCAAAGTAAGATGCGTCTGAAAAATGTGGGCGATTTGGGATTGATATATTTGTATCAGAAATAAGCTGTATAGAATGACTGTATTGCAGGATTTTGTTATTTGTGTACAGTAAACCCTCACACTCTGACATAATAGGGACGCAAACTCTCCCCTTTATATATAAATTTTTTATCTCGAATCCTTTTTATGTTTCACAGTCTAGTTTTAGTTTAACTCATGATAGTTATATTTTATTAATTGTAATATGTTGGCTGGTATGTTATTACTAATTTGGTATTCAATTGGGCTGGATGTCGGAGAAAGATGTCCGCTTGGTAGGCTGGCAGTGATGCTGCTACTCGCTTCTTTTCTCTTACATATCGGGGTGACATGAGTTCGAATTTGTCATTCGCGCTAAAGCTAAACGAAACCCCTTACTTATTGAAACACTCTGTGTTTTCCAGATGCTCGGAATTCTCCGCATTAGTCGGCATATTTAAACACAGTGGAAGTGACATTCTAGAGTTGTCGAATGAAAACTCTTGATTACTGCGCTATCAATGCATTGATTATCCGTAATTAATCTCTTTCAAATTTATTTTATTGCTAACCAGAACTTGCACTTGCTCGTTTCGAGCCATCGATAACATTCATTGATTCAGTTAATTACTGACTGACCATTCGGTTCAACCGTTCAGTTCAACGTTCGGTCCATCATTACAAGTTTGCTTGTGTTGCATGATGTCACAACTCCCATATCGTATATGCCTAGCCTCCTTTCGTTTTAGTTCATCCAATAAAATTGTCGCTAATATCAAGTAACCTTACTTGTTAAAGTTAACTCGCCATAAATAGCCGAGATGGGGACACAATCCAATTTCTTGGGTCACATACCCGAGAATCACATGGCTTGATTGACTTGACCATGTAAGGGACTGTGGACGAAATTTCTTGATGAATTTCTTAATAAAGACAATAAACATTTTCGTAAAAACTTAATGCGTAGATGAAGCCCGGTTTACCTGAATATGGATATTGTTTGATGAGATTAATGAGTATAACAATGCAGGACATTAAGCGGAATTGGTAACAAATGAAAATTTGTTATGTAATGTTGATTAAGCATAAACGTATATTGTTGTTTGATAGGATAGGATAGGATTCGTTAGCCATCTTCCCCCATCAAGTAAGAGCCCCAAGTCATCACTAATGAAGAGAGGACTGAGCGTTGGTCAGACAGTACTTCGGACGATGCAGAGTCTATGAAACATAACATGAATTGAAGATCTTTCCTGCTGGTTATGGATTATCGAATAATCCGAAATATCATCGGAAAACAATTAAGTACGTTCCAAGATATCGCATGCGACATACTTATTAACTGCATTACTATTAGGTTTGTCATAATTCACTTCCATTCATCAAAGTTCCGCATTAGCCATATACAATTATAGCAGACAAATAGTTGCCAAGAACGATGGTAATACATTGCGGTCAAATCTTTCCTAATCAGCTATCTTGTCTTTCCACTGTCAGCCAGTAATACGGTAGCGGATGCATTTGTTGGTGAAAGCGACTGGGAAAATGCTAAAAGGGCCTTTCAATTTACTGTCGGATAAGTTCTGGAATAAGAAAAACTAACGTTAATATAATTATAATGGTTACGATGGTTATGATTATAGTAGTATAGCAATACTAATCTACGGTAATGTTTGCATTTCAGTAAGTGTCCGCAAAATGTGGTACTTTGCTGATCCTGCACTCACATCCAAAATAAGCATTTAAACTAAGTGGTACATTAGCCTCCTTCATTATCTACTACCTTATTTACTAGCCTTATGTTTCTTTTTCATCTTTGACAAATGAGTGTACACGACCACTGCGAACGCCATATTAACGTATCATAACCAAGATACATCTTGCATATTGACTTCATTTCCGCACTAATGACGTATATAATAAACATGCATGCATTCATGGGTGCAACTGGGTATTTGATTATTTCCAAATTACTCCATCTTGTTAGTCAACATTTGTAAGAAGCAATTTAGCAGAGATTCGATACACGATACGGGAACCTGCTGGAATAGGATGGTCTGCATTGACTCAATTTAACGATTTAAAATTATCTAAGCAGTCAATATTTAAATAAAGTTGTCTGGAAATAATTGGTGCACAAATAGACAAGGGATGTGCAAATTCAGAAGGTAATATATTACTATACTCTACAATTTTGCATATTGAATATTAGAAATGTCGATATTAATAAACATATAGTTAACATTGCACTACGCGTATGAATTAATAATAAGTATAGCATGCTAAATAAAGTTAACAATCGGTTATATACAACTAACCAGGCTTATACGATAAAGCGCGATTAGAAGCTAGTATGGATAAAATAAGCCGAATTTTATATACAGCCTATTTCTTAAAACATGTCAATGCTTAAATATGCCGTATTATATTTCTTAGAACATTGTTTGTTAAGGTTTAAATTATTAAACATAAACATGCGTTTGAATCAATGTGCTAATAATTATTCTATGTTACATAAAATTTTCTGTCAATTTTTAATTATACCTAATCTGTCCCTGTTTATCTAAAATAGAAGTTGGATATTTTTAGATTGATCGATTGCACTCCCCACGAGCAACTTGCTACTGACACTATCTGTATCGATCGATTGATTGATGTATATAGTGAATCAGATTCCAAATATGTAGTATTGCACGCTATTAAAAGTGTCTATATAAAGTATAATAAATCATCCGAATGACAGATAATGGATCACAGCAAGGGGAATCATACATTTAGATAAGCACAATACAAACAAACTCTCACTGTTCAGCACAACACGAACAACAACACTGATGATTTGCTGTTTTCAATGCAGTTGGTAATTGAATTGCTGTATAAGTCATAAAACAAATGAAATGGAAAACGTTTATGTCATCATGCCTGATAATATCAATCAAATGTTACACGACGATTTTAAGTGTGATTATTGATTGGGTGCTAGCAGTGACGTAAAAGGTAAATCGTCCTTAAATTTAAATATCACACGGACAATGCGGTATATTTTAAATGAAACATATGTACAATCGTACTGCGCTTAGAGAAATAGATTCAATTGCAAAGACCTGATTCCCTTTTCTCATCAAGTTGGTGTGTAATTATAGCACTGCACAAAGCATACCTTTAACGCCCGCATTGTTTCATCCATTGTCCGGCTATATAAGATTGTATACACGCGTAACTGCATTATAATTAAAACAAATGAAGTTAAATACTTATGCTGTATACTCGGAGAGGGCAAGTGTTATAATTTACTATTAATTATATTTTTTAATTGTTCTTTTAACATTGTATATAAACCGTTAGACTTCATTAATTACACTACATTTACAAAATTTTTTATGGCGTACATAAACAATGCATAAACTATAGGCTTATGAAATGTGTATAACGTATTAGTATTATAAAATCCATTTAAATTATATACAAGTTTACAAAAAAGCAAGTTTGATTTTACGTGTGCAACTATTAATAAGAAATCACAAAAATATAAAAAGGCAAATATTGTATTTAAGTTCGAACAAAGTTTTTTTTTGTTCTAGGTTGGTGTAGGAATAATAATAATTTTGATGCCAAATAAATTACGTTGTATGTGTAAGCGGATAAGATTTAGATAAGGATGCTTGTGAAAGGCCTAACAATGGTCAAGGAGTGTTTGAGAATCGTTGCTTTGATAAATAGATAGGAGTGATTATGTAAAGCGGCAAGTATCGGAACAGTATGACGTCTAAAATGGATTCATACGCACACGAAACAAAAGATATTGTGCATATAAAACTACGATAAAATCTAGTTCAGAGTGACTAGCGTATCAGTTGTTCTATTCGAACAAAGTGACCCATTCATTAACGATACGTACATAAGACGATATGACTGTGTACAACCTGAATTTTCACAGCCATATTTATGCCAGTGTATGCGTAACGCAGATAAATGATCGTTGTTTGCTTCCTGTGATAATACAGATAAAATTTTAAGTATAAAAAATTATTAGTCAATAGAAGGTATATATACATGTTATTTACGCGTAGTTTAATCGGTAGTCATTGAATGCATGAATAGTGCATTCGGTCACTTTCCTTGTTTCGTATATACTATGTAAATAATATGATTTGTGTATCATTTCGAAGCTTACTGATTGTGTTCTCCGAAATTGCACTTGTATTGTAAGCCTGTAGTTAGATAAAGTTAATAGTATATAAATTACACATATAAATCGTACTATAACCTATTTACTGCTGTTCCATTGAAAAAAAAAACAACGTTTATTTGTTGTGCCAATAAAAAAAACTTTTTCATTTGTTGGGCTAATAAAATTCGAGAATGACCAAACATTTTTAGTAGGATAGTGTAACGCTATCTTTAGTGCCAACAGATGTAGGTGGATAATGTATTATCCGTCCGACTAACTATAATAATAAGAGTATTGATTTCAATAGACTAAAATATTCGTATATCAACCAATACGAGTGATAATCTTGAATATGCCGTAGAAACAATGTATCTGTAGACTTATAATAAATGTATAATTCACTGCTGAATACAATTTTGTGTGACCATTCTCCTTATATAACAAACGATCAAATTTTTTATACGCAATGACCATGAAAGCATGTATTCGCCTTATTTAACACGTAAAAGTGGATTTCCACCCCAAACAAGGGCGCAATAAATGTTTCGGCCATTATCACATGCCAAATAGCTAACATTTTTAGCCCTGGCAGCCGCAAATATCGATTCTTTGTCAATGTGTGCAATTGCATATCTAACTTGATAATTTACTAATACCCTGGAAATATAGCTAGCATTTGCAAGTATACGGTGAAAGTCGATATAACGGACTGTTCAGGACCAGCGTTTTTGTCCGTAACATCGATGAGTCCGTAATATAATTTGTG